ATATATATATATTTTTTTTTTTTTTTTTTTTTTTTTTTGCAGTAAGGTGGAAAATGCACGTTTTTAATATTTTGAATGAACTATAGGTTAAAATACATTTAACATTGTTACGTTTAAAAAAAACCCGGTTTCTCACTCGCTGAGGGCCTGCGGGTCTTTCTGCATCTGCTCTAGGATCAAGCGCATGGCAGGGTCGCTCATGATCTGCTGCACCTCCGGGTCAGACATGGCCCTCCGCTTCACGTCCTCGGGACTGTCGTTACGCATGGCCTGGCTCACCACGCAGCGCTGCAGGCCCTCGCTGGCCTCCTGTGGAGACGCAGAACAGGAGAAAGATCACGTCAGAACATCTGCAGTCCTTCAGGAAAGCTCGGATCACCAGCAGCTCTTCATACCTTGGAGTTGGAGTCCAGCTCGAGAGCTCTCTGGTACACATCCATCGCTTTAGAGAAGTCCTTCATAGCCTCGAGAGCCGCTCCCTTGCGCGTGTAACCCTTAACTGAAGAGTGCACAGTGTGAGGCGTCTGCAAATAAACCACTGACTAGCTGTGCTAACAGAGCGTGTCGCACTTACTGAAGCTCGGGTCCAGCTTGATGCACTCCTCACAGTCCTGACAAACAGAACAGTATGATGTTTTATTATTACCTTTAAATTTCTGTGTGCCTATGATATGACGCTAAGTGTTAGTTTTACTGCACCTTTCATTCGCACAGAGACATGCAGGATGCATATTTAAATAGTCTTTTTGCAGCTTAATATTTACAGATGCTACCTTGAGGGCCAGCTGGAACTCCAGCAGCTTGGTGTAGCAGGCAGCTCTGTTGCTGAAGAGCTTGGCATCATAAGGGTTTCTCTTGATGGCCTCCGAGTAATGCTTCATGGCCAGAGGATAGTCCCCTGCACACGACACACCCACAGAGCAAACCAAATCACAACCTAAACCATTTAAACACCAGTCTTATTAGATCCGAGAACGCTAAACCGGCTCATTCACACACCCTTCTGGAAGGCGTCGTTGCCTTGGTTCTTCTCTTCCAGTGCCAAATCTGGATTGATGTAGGCCTGCTTCTCCTGTTCCTTTAAAAACTTCTCCGCCTGTAAAAGAGCGGACAGAAAGAGTTCTGAGCAGATATCTGACTTCTGAGTTTAAGTCTCATTCGTGACCCTGGAGCACAAAACCAGTCATAAGGGTCAATTTTGTGAAATTGAGATTTATGCATCATCTGAAATCTGAATAAATACTATAACGGCTAAAACCAGTATTTGGTATTGTGTAATGGTTATAACCCAAGCTCTGGCTGACCTGCTGGCACTTCTTGAGCACTTCAGGTGTGCGATGCTCGGTCAGGCTCTTATTAAAAAACTGGACCGCCTCTTTGTGCTTCTCCTGCTTGAAGTAGGAGTTCCCGATCCTGGCGTAAGCCCTGTGGCCAAACAGACGCAAATAAACCAGTGCAGAGGTGCAAACAAACACGTCACAGCTCTGTTGTGGTGCACTTACTTGGCGATCTGTCTGTAGTCTTCGCGGTTCTCTCGGCCCAGCTCGATGGCCTTCTCACACAGCTCTCTGCACTTCTCAAACTCGCCCTCTTCAAAATGCACAGCTGACACAGAAAACACACACTCGTAGTTAAAGTGGTTTCATTGGTCTGCTTATTGTTGTGCCTATGCAGTGTCCCGGACACATTAACACATATTAACTGGCTCATGTGATTTCATGTTTCATGGGCTTTTTCACTTTCTGTTGTGAGCCGAGATGGACTGAGATCAGAACTCTCACCTGCTTGGTTTGACAGATAGGTCATGTTGGTGGGATCCTGCTTTAGAGCTTCTTCATAGTGCTTCAGTGCAGCAGCGAAGTCTTTCTTCTTATATGCGGCGTTTCCCAGCTCCTTCTCCCTCAAGGCCTGGAGGAACGATCAGGATTAGCAGACACCAGGCAGAGCTCGACGGTGTTATTCCAGAACATAAGCGGCTTTTATAAGCATCTGAAACGCGCTGTGACTTATATTCCAAAGCCACTTGTTAATGCATTTAACGTCAAGCATGCAAAATGCAAACATGCATCAGTTCAAGCATTGCTAACTTGACATCGCAGCCTGTTCATCATAAACCTAAAGCACAGAGAAGTCAAGCAGCTCAGTTTAAGTCACGTGAAGGACGCGGTTTTACATGGAGCGAAGCACAAAGCCTTGTGAACATAATAAATACTAGTCTAGCAACCAAACGTTTGGCTGCTTCTCAAACACGGAAACATTTGGATTTGTCCCGAATGAGCCCAACGCTGGCTTCAGTTTCGCTTTAAACAAATTACTTTATAGGTTTAGCCTTGATAACTTCATGTGACCTTGGAGCACAAAACCAGTCATAAGGGTCAATTTTTCGAAATTGAGATTTATACATCATCTGAAAGCTGAATAAATAAGCTTCCATTGATGTATGGTTTGTTAGGATAGGACAATATTTGAAAATCTGGAATCTGAGGGTGCAAAAAAATCTAAATATTGAGAAAATCATCTTTAAAGTTGTTCAAATTAAGTTCTTAGCCATGCATATTACTAATCAAAAATTAAGTTTTGATATATTTACTGTAGGAAATTTACAAAATATCTTCATGGAACATGATCTTTACTTAATATCCTAATGATTTTTGGCATAAAAGAAATATCAATAATTTTGCCCCATACAATGTATTGTTGGCTATTGCTACAAATATACCCCAGCGACTTAAGACTGCTTTTGTGCTCCAGGGTCCCATATGTTGTTTATGACAAATGCCACTATAATGTCTATAGTATTTATGTTTATAAACATTTAATTTGCGCTATTTCTGAATGCAATAAAATGCATCATGCATCTTATTTCTTCTCTCATGCAATGCAATTTTGACCCAATGCACAGTAAATTGCACCGGTGTGACTCATACAGTACGAGCCAGACAGAGTACCATTCTCTTGTTCTCAGGCAGCTCCTCCTCTTTCGGTGGAGGGGGTGGAGCCGTCTCTCTGGGTTTGGGCGGAGGGGGCGGAGTCACTTCATCCTCTTCATCCATGCCAGCTAGATCCAGCCCCAGCAGCACTGAGAGAGTGGTCATGACACGCGGGTCCTGCAGCCTCCTACACACACACAACATGACTGGAGATTACACCACAAGCACAGACGCTCGTCTTCTACACACCCTCATAACATCCGATCAACTACCTTACGGGTTATCGTATTAAACACTGCACTTACTGGAGCTTCCATTTCAATCCGGCAATTCTAACATCACTTGAACTCATTTAACTGGAATGCAATAATACGTGTGATTGTGAAATATTGTTGCACTTTAAGACGAAGCGGATCAGCAACGGAGCACCTACGCGCCGAGCTCCGAGGGCTTGATCCGGAGCTGCTCCAGAAGCTCCCTGTAGCTGGGGTCAGACAGCAGCGCTCGGGTTCGAGGGTCGCCCTCCAGCTTCTCAAACAGGTTGGGAACGGAGAACGGGTTCATCATCTTTCTCTCTGAAAAGAACAGTAAATCTCAGCAAAGAATCTCTTCACTGCATCTCTTAATGCTTATTCACACTGAGAGCGAGCAGAAAGCATACAGCTGGTGGATGCTGAGGTATACGCTTCACCTGCTAACCGCGCTTCAATGTTCTGAAGCCCCTCCTTGAGCTGCTGATTGGTCGGCTCTCGGCGTAACCCCTCCTGATAGGTCGCTTTGGCATCCTCCAGTCGCCCGAGGAACTCCAAAGCAGCTGCTTTTCTTGAGTAACCCTTAAAAAAGATGACATTTGAAAATGTACGCTCACTGGTCTGAAAGAGAACGGGAAGCAGATCCCAGCTCACCTTGCCCCAGTCCGGCTTGATCTTTACGGTCTGGCAGGCGTCTCTCAGGGCACTGTCGTAGTCGCCCTTCTTGGCATAGGCGGCAGAGCGGTTGCTGAAGAGCACGTGATTGGAAGGGTCAAGGGTCAGGGCCTCTGTGTAGCACCTGACGGCCTCCTCCACGTCTCCTGCGCTCAGTGCCTTGTTGCCTTGATCTTTCAGTTGTGCTGCCTAGAGAGAAAGTATACACTAGAATACTGTATACACACAGTAGCTTCATGCCAAAAATAACAGTACGGTTTAACATGTAACAGAAATATATTACTCTTGTACATATTTAAATATTCCATTTTCTATCAAATTTAAATAAAACAATTAAATGATAAAAGTAAATATTACAACTAAATTAATCACTTAATTGTAGAAAAAAATAATACAATTATTAGCCTGTTAAAAAATGTTTTAAGGAATATTCACACAGTTTTTCTTCCATGTATTAATTTCAACAGTAAACCTCAGTTTGTTTGACAAAAAAATAAAAGGGTTTAATTTTGATTTAAAATAAATGTTTAATGCCTTCATTTGGTTTTCAGAGAAATGAAAACAAGAATCTCTGGGGGCCCTACTTTAATATTTCACAGAACTTTTGTCAAAATAAGGTCAAATATATGAAGTAATGCACCAAACTGCAAAATCATCATTAAATGAGTTCTGGAGTTTGGTTTTTCCATTACATCTTTAAATAAACATAAAATACTAAGTTTGCATATTCAAATAAGTTTTTTTGTTGCTGTCAATACTTGAGTTTATTGCTCTTAAATGTTTTATTAATTGTACGGTTATTGATAGATTTTTGGAAAAATAAGTATGTTGTGAATAACTGTTATTTTTTGTTAAAATTGTAATTTTCTGTTACACGGTCAATGCATTCTGGGTTACACACTAAATTATTATTATTATTATTATTTATTTGATGCATTGCCGTTGCTGTGGAAGCAGTGCATTGTGGGAGATAGATGCTCCAACAACCCACATTATTGTGCATTAAATTAACAATTCAATCGAACTGCATAATCTCAGAGGAATAAATAAATATATATATATATATATACTTCTCGAGATGGTAATGTGTAGTGGTACTGGTCAGCTTGTGAAGTGAAGATAACGCTGAAGAGCAGCTCGCGGGTTACAGCGCAGCGTGTCGAGTTCGGCTGCTAGCGCTGCTAGCTCACTCACTAACTAGCCTTCTATCGTTGATGCGGTTAGTAACGAGCTACACCGAGCAGCTCAAATACACAACACTTCTAACATGCTTTACTTCGCACACGCGTCTAAAAGCCACGTCTTCTTCATAATGTGTAATGTGTAATATCTGTGGAGGAGCTACTCACGTTCTCCATAGCGCGAGCATGAGCTTCCAGAATCTAGCACTCTCGCCAACTCTCGCGAGACACATAAGCACCCGCAGCTTCAAAAACAAGACCAACATTTTTTGATAATTTATTATCATCAATATTATTTATTACCAATAAACGAGCCCGCAACATATTAAACTGAAACTACCCTTTTATCTGAAAAGTAAAATCGTAATTTATTTTACAAAAATCAGCAAACTGCAACAAAGCAGGAACACAACTGCCCTCCAATCAGCTGCGAGCAGAACAGGATTGGCGAAAAACACAAGAGCTTCAAAGGAGAGCTGTAGCATAGCCACATATGTATAGCCTACTAAATATCTGACAAATAAAATAATTTATATTTTTGCACTGGTTGGCTATTAACTGTGAGCAGACAGTGTCAATCAATGCATTGGAGAATACAGTGAACATAAATGAAAAGAAACGAAGTTGCTTGTCAGGTTTTCCTAACAAGCAACTGTATTTTTGTAAATGAGCCCCAAAAAACGCAACCCTGGACCCGGGATTTTACAAAAAATTAAGTCCAAAGTCGCGTATAAGACTCAGACTTGGCAACCGCCGCCGGGGGAGGGTTGCCAGCTCCTGCAGTTCAACCCTTGAAAAGAAAGGTTTAAGAACGTGACCATGTTACGTAAGGATGCATACAATTACATTCTAAAAACTATTAGTAGCCGAACATTAAAAGTCATTATGCATTCATTCATGCATTAACAGCTCATAAAACATGGACTATGTCATGAAGCAAAATCAGTCTCTAGAAAATTCAGGAACAGATTTAGGAATCGCTGCGCAACGCATGGCAACCCGAATAAAGGCGACAAATGAGAAGAACTGTTACTTTTCGCACCGCATTAGCAGCGCTGCGGTCTCTGATTGGATGAATCGCTGAGCGGTGACTAAACGAGCGCTACAGCTGTTGACAAAACTATATCACCTAGCGTTAATCTTGTAAAGGGATAGTTCACCCAAAAATTAAAATTAGCCCGTGATTTACTCACCCTCGAGGCATCCTAGCTGTGTATGACTTTCTTCTTTCAGACGAATCCAGTCGGAGTTATATTAAAAAATGTCCTGGCTCTTCCAAGCGTTATAATGGCAGTGAATGGGTGTTATTTTTCAACAGTCCAAAAGAAGGCCAATAAAGCCCATACATCCATATTAAAAAGTGTGCCACGCGGCTCCGGGGTGAATAAAACCCTCCTCCAAAAATATCCATATTTAAAACTTTATTAACTGGATGATGCAGGCGTAGTGTAAATCATGGGCTAATTTTCATTTTTGGGTGAACTATCCCTTTAAATACTCTCCTCCCATAAATGTTGCATCTGAACTGGAAACTCCTGCAAATGCTTATGCAGTAAGCTCAAAACAACTGTCCACTGCATGGCTTTAGTAAATCCTGACGATAGTTTTTTAATGCCAAAAGAGCGTTTGCGCTGAATTGCGTGTAGCTCAATGTAACTGCAGTTGCAAGTATCTTACAGCTGACGGCACTCACGGCATTCATAAATAACAACAGAAAAATGCAGGTCTGGATATTCACCTTTTTTTACATTATCTTTGTCCTTCTCTCTCTCTCTCTCTCTCTCTCTCTGAGAGAGTGTGTGTGTGTGTGCATGTTTATGTGGTTTATGGGGACACAAATTTCAATCACAAATGACATGTTAGTGTGCGTGTGTGAGAGAGAGAGTGTGTGTGTGTGTGTGTGAGAGAGAGAGATCAAAATGAAAACAAAACAAAAAGTAAAGTAAAACTAAACTTGTTTGCTAAAGTGCTTGCATGTTTTTGTTTTTGTTTTTTCACACAAGAATACCAGCATGTTCACCTTCTCTGGTTTAAGAAGCGGTCTTTTACTTTACTTCAGCGTGACCCGCAAATTACGCCTATGGTCCCACCGCACCATTCATTACAGTTTTTTACGATTGCTATGACAATTTTTTCAATACTTTTAACAACTTTCCAAAACTTTTAACACAAAAAGCACACCTACAACACACAATTGTCAAAACAGTTTATCTAATGCTCAAAATCACTCACTGTAAACAAAACTCCAACACAAATGTTCAAAATACAATAGCACATTAACACAATACACTATGACAACCAAAACACTGCAAACATGTCACACTTCCAAAACACTAACACGTGTTCTCTTCCAACAGGAACATTTAGTCCATGATAACACAATGTCATAAAAACACTAGCATCAGATGGAATTACAGAAACTGTGCCTCAGGCCTGCACTTATACAATAGACAGTGTATTGTATTGATCATAGATTGTGTTTTGCACTGCAGATTCTTTTGAAACCTCTCTACATTTTAGTTTTGTTGTGTTTAGTAAATGCATGCATTTAGTTTCTGAGTCTATTTAATGCATGTGGATGGGTCCCTCAGCACTGATGCGTCAAAAACCACACAAAACGAGTCCACACGACCCCAGCTGATGAATCAGTATCTCCTGAAGCAAAACCACAGGTGTGTGTGAGAAAAACACTGATGATTTAAACTATAAACCGTTGCTTCTTGCCAACTATCATACACAGGCTCATAAGCTCCAGCCTGATATAAATGTCCGGATGAAATATGATGTAAACGTGTTGTGAAACAAGAAGTGGCAGTCTGAATTTACTGGTTGAATGTATGGTTTTTAGTTAAAAAATATTAAAATATTAGATTTTTCTCACCCACAAATACCGTTTCGCTTCAGAAGATATTGATTCATCAGCTGGGGTCACATGGGTACCTCTGTGTTTGTTTTGCATAGTTTATGAATCATTAAGTTTGAGGGACACATCCACTTGCATTATATGGACTCACTGAGATGGATTTATTTAATTTAATTTAATTTTATTTCATTTCATTTCATTTCATTTTTTTATTTTATTTCTTATTTTGTTTTATTCTATTCTCTTTCATTTCATTTTATTTTATTTTATTTTTTATTTGATTCTATTCTATTCTATTTCATTTCATTTTATTTTTTATTTTATTTTTTATTTATTTTATTTTATTGTATTATATTTTTATTCCATTGTATTTTATTTAATTTTTTTATTCGATTCTATTTTATTTTATTTTATTTAATTTCATTTCATTTTTTATTTTATTTTAATTTTATTTTGTTTTATTTTTTTTATTTTGTTTTATTCTATTTCATTTTATTTTATTTCATTTAATTTCTTCATTTAATTTTATTTAATTTTACTTCATTTCATTTCATTTCATTTTTTATTTTATTTCTTATTTTGTTTTATTCTATTCCATTTCATTTTTTTCTATTCTATTTTATTTCATTTTATTTTTTTATTTTATTTTATTTTTTATTCTATTTCATTTAATTTCTTAATTTAATTTAATTTTATTTCATTTAATTTTATTTCATTTCATTTCATTTTTTTATTTTATTTTATTTTGTTTTATTTTTTTATTTTGTTTTATTCTATTTCATTTAATTTCTTAATTTTATTTAATTTTATTTTATTTTATTTTGTGGGTAAATGATAAGAGGTATGCTTTTACTGTTTTTTTTTTTTTATAAGAATGTTGAACGTCTCTCCTTTGACTAACACTGAAGAAGGGACACAAGCTATATCTACAGACCAGAATATCATGGAGACTTGGATGAGTATGTTTGACTTGGATCACTTCTTAACATTGCCACCAGCTTTATTCACCATTTTTCCCTTATTTTAAAAGGTCTTTTGATATATGCCAAATGAATTTGTGTGTTCATGGCTGGATTACTCAAGACAAATCTCCAGGTATGCTTTTACTGTTTTTTTTTTTTTTATAAGAATGTTGAACGTCTCTCCTTTGACTAACACTGAAGAAGGGACACAAGCTATATCTACAGACCAGAATATCATGGAGACTTGGATGAGTATGTTTGACTTGGATCACTTCTTAACATTGCCACCAGCTTTATTCACCATTTTTCCCTTATTTTAAAAGGTCTTTTGATATATGCCAAATGAATTTGTGTGTTCATGGCTGGATTACTCAAGACAAATCTCCATCTGTCTCGGCTAAGAGAGACACGTACCTGTAAAACGTCTTCTTCATTCACACGGTGCTGTTTTCATTCGTCAAATAGCTGCACTGAACGGTGTTGACAGCCTGTGTAATTCTGTATGCTTGTGTCTTGAATGTGTATTAATGTTAGTGTGTGTTTACGTTGAACTGTGTGTGAGAGTGCGCGTATGTGTGTGTGTGTGTGTGTGTGTGTGTGTGTGTGTGAGAGAGAGAGAGAGAGAGTGTCGTTCACAGCCCAGTGCACAGCTAGATTGCCTGCAGAAGAAACGACAGCATGAGAGAAAAATGAGGGAGGCCCTGCCAAAAGGAGCGGAAGTACAGCTGAGGAGAGATGGACGAGTCGAGTGAGAGATAAACGTGTGTATGAGGAGGGAGAAGAGTGCTAGCATGCTAAAGAGAGCAATGCACATCACAAAATCAAGAAGAGAGAGAGAGAAAACACTGCTTTGAGTCTACGGCCTACATAAGCAGCCTTCATGCAAGACAGCATCCTAACTGAAATTAAACCTCATAAGAGATGATGCGTGTGCTTTATAAGTACTAATAAACAACCAATATTAGTAATATGCATACTAATAAGCAACTAATTAATAGCGAGAATTAATCCTTAAAATAAAGTGTTACCATATATACATAAATAATAAGATAATTACGAATGCTAAATGTTAAGTCATTTTGAAAATAAATACGTGCATTGTGGTTGCAAACAGACGTTGTGCAGCATGTGGGTGGTTAACGCGTAACGTCCTTCAGCTTTTATCTTTCATCAACATTAAGATTTTAGGTTCACTTTTTTTTTTATAAAGAAATTTTTGTATAAGAAATCAGATTTATCTCTGGTCCTGAATATCAGGATAATTTCTTCATTATTATTCACGTTTTGCCATCAGCCTCATTTTGGGACAGCCTCATCTTTTCAGGAGCGCATCTATCATGACCTTTCAGTAGAACTGTAATGATCACATTCATGAGTTCTGAGCACATGAATGAGCAAGCAGAAGTCGGACACACAAGTGAGGAACAGTGAT